ATATATAATATGAACTGAATACAAATGGTTTCATGCCTACATTCTTGTCAAACCTCATAGCCTCACTAACCTGAAAGCAGGAGTTAAAATAACTGTACAATATAATCTTCTCTTATTTTCTGTAACTTGCAGCTCCCAGTTTTCAGATTTATAYTTATCTATGTGAAAGCTATAAAACCATGTTGGGAATTGTAGGCACTGACGTTTTTTCTTCTTTTTAGGAAATACTTATATTCTTAGGATAATATTAACTTAATTTTGCCCTTCTTTCAGTATTTTATTTGCTGGTGGTGAATGCAGTAGATATATCCAGATAATTTGCAATAATTTGATATTGAGTTTCAAAAATGTTATTTTTAGAAGCTACAGTTTCTTAAAKAAATTAATCAACATAAAAAAACTTATTTTTCTTCCAAATGTTACTGGTAGTTTTGAATAATTATAAAATTTTAAATACGCTGTTACAGTCCATTTCCCCATCTGTTTTGTTTACTCGTTTGTTTTTCCTTTCTGGGTTGCAAGGAAGCTGGAAGCCTATCCCAGTGTTCATTGTGTGACGAGACAAATATCCACTTACGCTCTCACTCACACCTAAAATGTTTAKAATTCGTTCAATTTCAGATTTCTAATTCTGAGTTTATCAACACAAAATAATGCATTTTGTTTGATCAATCATGACCTAGAAGTAATAAATGGCTRTAGATTAAAATAGGATGATTGAAGATGACTGTTTGTTGTCAATTTAAATGCAAATCAGAAATCCTGTACTATTTAAAGAAGTTTTTCCCTTAAAGCAAGCACCATCAATGATTTGTATTTTTCTYCAACACAGGTTGCATTCACTGTCCTGTTCGACTTGGAAGCTCTTCTGAAAATTTGGTGTCTTGGGTTTACTGGCTACATCAGCTCTTCTTTACACAAGTTTGAGTCTCTGCTGGTGGTGGGCACCACACTGCACATCTACCCCGACCTTTATCACTCTCAGTTCACCTACTTCCAAGTACGGATGCACAAATTAAAATAGATGTGTGCAAGTGTGTGCTTGTGTAAACATTCCGTATAAGAATCACATGCAGAATGGAAATATGAATTATCCACTTGAAGAGTTGAAACTGTGAATTGTTTTGAAACATATGTATAACTTTAGTATGTTTAAATCAGTATGTTAAATCAATGGTTCCCAACATGTTTTTATCAAAGCACCCCTTCACTGACCGCCCCACACCACCTCAATCCCTCTCTACTCCCCACCTCCTCCAAACAGCTTTGATTCACATTACATACATTCTTAATTTTGTTATGTTACAGCAAACGTGACAGAAAAAAAAAACATATATGGTAAACATTGATTTGTCTTGCATGAAGCAGAACCCAAAACAACAATGTAGCTTTCACATTTTTTTTAGATTTTACTTTTTTTGTGCTTTTTATTTATCTCTTTAGAAATGCATTTTGGTCAATGTAGTCTGTCAGGCATGCAGTAAATGTATGTTTACGTACTTCTTTTTTTATTTTTATATCCAGTGAATCAAAGCAAGTCTTTTTTTTTTTTGTTAACTGTGGATAATAAAGAAAAATCTTTGACCAGAATCATCACAGAGAAAAGCTTGATCAATAGCTCAATACTCTTTGGCTTTTTAGTCAGAGTGTGACAAAGATACATTACCTGTTGGGGGTTGCTGTCACCACAGGCCATGTCCTTAATAAGTCTCTTAACACAGTACAGCATTACTTCACTATAGCATTTGGATAAGATCAATATGCTTTCTTTAAAAAAGTTATATGCAGACAGATTTTATTTTGATGTTTATATGATAACAGATTTTTTTGATAACAGTAGTCTTTTATTTAGCTAATGAAATGACTGTTTTTAAATTTTAATAATAAAATATTTTACACAAACTGTATACAGGAGCATAAATGCATAATTTATTTAATATTAATTATTTTATAATTGTTTCTTCTTTCTAGGTGCTGCGTGTGGTGCGTTTGATAAAGATTTCTCCTGCCCTAGAAGACTTTGTCTATAAGATTTTTGGTCCAGGTAAAAAACTGGGCAGCCTGGTGGTATTCACAGCCAGTCTTCTGATTGTCATGTCAGCCATCAGCTTGCAAATGTTCTGTTTTGTGGAGGAACTGGACCGTTTTACTACATTTCCAAGGGTAAGACATGTCTCATACTGAAATAACAAAAAAAATATATGAAAAAGTTTGGTTTTTCTGTATTGTGGTGTTGAGCGTGTACTTGGTATTGTAGTTTGCCCTTGTATTCTGTTTAAAAGTGCAAGTATTGGACTAAGACTTTGGCGGCTGTCGTGGAGTGGTTAGGGGAGTTGTCTTGGAACTGGAAGGTTGCCTGTTCGTTGCCCCAGTCCAGCTGTCTCAGTTGTTGTGTCCTTGGGCAAGACACTTTACCTGCCTTGCCTACTGACTGTGGTCAGAGGATCCGGTGGCGCCGGTGCATGGCAGCCTCGCTTCTGTCAGTGTGCCCCAGGGCAGCTGTGGCTACAATGAAGCTTACCATCATCAGTGTGTGAATGGACTTGATAAAGTGCTATATAAGTTCAGTCCATGTACCATTGATATTGAAAGCAATTTTATCCTAGATGATTAGGAAATCATATGTGACTGGCCATGGCAAAACCAGAAGCAAGTCTCCCTGGGGTTGTTTTGAGGTATTTACAGAATCTGAAAGTGTGTTCAGAGCTATTCAGTGATGGCAATCAAGAAGAAAATAAAGTGAAGAAGATATGGCCATTTGAATGTTGGCATTCTGCAAACAAGATTAGTGAGAAAACAGGCCTCACGGTTTCAGAGGAATTGTCCCCACCAGAGGGCATTACCTGGTGGTGTTAACAAAGGCTATTCGTTTACTTTAATTTGCATAAACCCCACATTAAATATTTGAATTGACTTTCTACTAATCCTGCAGTGCATCAATAATTAAGGTAGTTGCTAATAGTTAGTTGAGTTTTTRTAAACCCTTTATAAGTGAGAAATATTTATACTTAAGTATTTGTAAATCATAGTCAGTTCAAACATTCTTTAACCCAGAGGTGCCAAAATTAACGTGCCAGTAGTTGCTCTGGTTAATGGATTGTATTCACCCGYTGTCCTGTGTAGAAACACTGTATTCCCATTTATAGTCAGCTTACTCATTAGCCCCATGACAAGACATTTAGATTAGATTTAAGCACACATTTTTATGAAATGTCCCATGAGCCATTGCTGCCTGATCATATGTCAAACCTTCTATAAGTGCACAGGCTAAAAAAAAAACATGAAATGTGGGCCACCACACTAGCTGCTTTCTTAATCATAAAAAAGAAATAAAAGAACTTTACTTAAAAAATATTCATTGTTCATGTTTTTCCTGCATTTGGCCCATAGATAAATATTTTATTTTGGCACTCTCTGGGAAAAACTTTTATATACCCATGCTTTAACCAAAAAGTTTGACATACACTCATGAAGCAAAGGCACGTGGGATATTTCATAAATTGATGAAATTTAAGTAATTGTGGTCCTATAATGTGTGACAATCTACATGTGTGTGCCTAAATCTAATCTAAATTTATCTTGTAGCTACTTGCATTTCATGTGTAATCTTAATATAATTCAAATATAAAGTCAGCACCATGACTGAAAACTACTCTGCACTACCGTCCTGTATATACAGTATTCATTTGGCCATTTGGTAAACTGACTRTAAGTGGGAGCATAGTATTTCTACACACGACAACAGATAAATACAATCTAATAACCAGGGCAACTACTGGCAGGTTAATTTTGGCACCTATGGGTTAGAAAATGTTTGAATGAACTATCATTTATTAATACTTAATGTCTAAATACATAGTTTTCACTTTAGAAGAGTCCACGAAAAGACTTAACTACTAACAACTACCTTAAATATTGAATTATTTGAAATTAATTATTATTTTTTAACCTCAAAAGTACAGTTTTTAAATTAAATGTTGTTGAAGCAGCAAGTTTCTCAGTGGCTCTGTGCTCAACAATGCAGCCTAGGTGGAGAAGTTGAACACAGATCCAATAAGCCTCCAGCACATCACGTCTTCAGAAGACAAGCTGATAAAAGAAAAGTTAAAAGTCTGTATTGTTCAATACATAGTGCATATTGAACCTAGAGCACTATATTGCATGATTCAATATACAGTATATGCATAAAAACATTTTCTTTAATTGGCAGTTTTATTGCATTTGGGTAAGTCTGCAGTGCTATGTGGCYTTCTGGTAGCGTCAACAAAAGATTGTGTCCCCTTCCATCATATAAGTTGCCCATCCCTGATCTGAAGGTTCATATTGGAAATAATGAACTTTAAATTTTTTGCTATGAAGTTTAATGATAATTGGAATACAAAAGCTTTCTAACCAGGGCTCTCAAGTCTCAGGGATTGACCGTGAGACACACACATTTCATGACGTGCACACTTTGTATTTCTCATGCTAAAACACACATACTTTTTAAAGAGAAACCAATGTGCAGCTCAATGTTTTCTTCCCTGGCTTGATTGGCCATTGGATGAACCCCTCACTTTTTCTAAGAAAATCCTCTTTCACATTTTTTTCCTATTTTTAAATTTTTTTATTCCTGGATTGGTCCTGAACATGTGCGGATTGCGTTCAGAGCTTAGAGTCGCTCTTGTCAATCACCCAGAACCCATCTGCATGATGTGAGTCATTATTAAAAGCAGCAGCAGCATGAGACACAGCTCCAGTTCAGACTGATTATTCCCACATCTTGCGTGCACGAATGATGTTTTCATCATAGTTTAAAAACAGAATGCTCTCAGTTCTCACAGGGATGCGCGCGCATAACATCATGCGCAAACGACTTGAACAGCCATCAGAATGCTATTAAATAAAGGAGTGACGCGGCTTTTTTAAAAGTGGGATGCACGTCAAAATTTATAACAAAGACCTCACATGATGTTAGGGCTTGGAGTATGTACTCTCAGCTACTACCAGTCTACTTCTAAAGCCTCAAGCTGCAACCCAAACTGCAAATGAATCTGCTTCTGCCCTAGTTAATTTTTTTCTCTGATACTGTCTCACTATAATAAATGAGTAGCTTCGCCATTGTTGTTAATCACCTCAAAAATTTTGTTTTGGCATGCTTAATGCTTGTGTTTCCAGGAGGGTATCTAGAACTGGTGTCCATTTTGTAAACTTCTCTTGCCATCCAACCCCAAATGTTCTCAGTTGTATTTACATCAGGGAAACACCCAGGATGGTCCAAAAGAGTGATGTTATTTCTCTGGAAGAAGTCTTTTGTCAGGTGGGCACTGTGAACTGCAGCATTGCCCAGTTGAAAAACCCAGTCATTACCACACAGACGAKGGCCTTCAGTCATGAGGGAGACCTCCTGCAACATCTCCACATAGCCAGCTGCACTTTGACACCTCCGCATAACCTGAAGCTCCCTTATTCCATTGAAGTAAAAAAGCCCTCCAGATCATGATGGTGTCCCCTCCACTGTGTCATGTAGAAAACATCTCAGGTGGGATCTCCTTGTCMTGCCAGTAACGTTGGAAGCCATACGGACCATCAAGACTTTTTTTTTCTCATCAGAGAATAAAACTTACTTCCACCTTTCAATGTCCCATGTTTGGTGCCCTCGTTCAAACTCTAAATGGGCAGTTTTGTGTCGTTGAAGGAGAGGAAGCCTTTGAAGAAGTTTTCTGTTCTTAAAACCCTTTTATTGCAGATGCTGTCTGATGGTTATGGGACTGCAGTYRGCACCAGTGATGGGCCAAGGATCGTCCCTCGTCTTAAAGGGATCCCCGATTAGTTGTAACATTGGACTTTACATGATAAACATATACTTTCACTGTAAAAGAAAGACTGTAAAAATACTGTAGGATGTTCAGTTTTTATCATTTTTAAATTAAGAGTTTAAAAATATATTACACGGACGGGGCCATTTTATTTATGAGCAAAGCATTCTGGGTAAATGATGATATCAACTAGATCATCCGCACAAGGCTGCTAGCGAGCTATATTCACCCTGAAGGTTAATCTTCGACAATATCTGATGATCGACTCTTTTAAATGAAACCAGAGAGCGTTGACAGAGAGGAGAAGGTAGAAATGACTCAGCCTGGAACTGAAAATATGGATGGAGGACAACAGAGCTGCTTCATGGAAGGACCTCAGCTTAGCCTGTTAGCTTTAGCATTAGCCCCGATGCTATCACCATATACGTATATATATATATATATATATATGTGCTACACATTCTCCTCTCGTCACTGAGGTCCTCCACCCACATGACAGAGAGGGGAACACAAAAATGACTCGGCTGCAACTGAAAATATGGATGGAGGACCTCAGTTTAGCTTGTTTGTCGCGCTAGCACTGAGCTAATGCATATAAGGCAATATAGTGTGAGGGCTAGCGYGAAGGCTAACAGGCTAAGCTGAGGTTCTTCTTCCATGAAGCAGCTCTGTTGTCCTCCATCCATATTTTCAGTTACAGCTGAGTCATTTCTACCTTCTCCTCTCTGTCAACGCTCTCTGGTTTCATTTAAAAGAGTCGATCATCAGATATTGTCCAAGATTAACCTTCAGGGTGGATATAGCTCGCTAGCAGCCTCGTACCGATGACCTAGTTGATGTCATCATTTACCCAGAATGCTTTGCGTGTAAATAAAATGGCTCCATCTGTGTCAAAATATATTTTAAAAATTTTACAAAACCAAACAGCCTACAGTATTTTTAAATACTTTATTTTACAGTTAAAGTAAATGTTTATCAAATAAAGTTTAATGTCACAACTAATCGTGGATCCCTTTAAATATGTTTAATGTTTTGTCAGTTTTGTAATGTTTTATTTCATAGAGGTGTTTGGCATTTTGTTGTACTTGTTATCTTAGTTCAAAAGATTCAGACAAATGAATACACAAAACCAAACTTTAAAATTCATTTGGAAATTGCTGCAAAGTGAACAAGTGATCTGAAGGCCTGTGTGTTCTGATGATTTTTGCATAATGGTTCTCTAGTTACTGCCTTTGATTCCTAAGTACTCACAATACTTTTCTCTCTCTCGTTAATAACATTTTTCTCCTTTTTTATTTCATTGACCTTAGACAAACAGGTGAATGAGAGCTGCTGGGAACAGCTGACACTTATAGGCTTGTATTCTTCTTCCCTCTTTTTTGTTTTCCTCTGTTTCCTTGTTCCTTCTGTTGCACACACATCTAGACACAAATACATAGTATAGTTGATGATGTTTGATCTTATTTCCTGTGGGCAGACAAGGTTTTTGGGTTTATCTTTGTCTGCACTGACTGGAACATGGGAGCAGGTGGGAAAGGTTGAGGGCATGGTGTTGCTGTTTGAAGAGGGAAAATGATGAAGAAAGTGCAGGAGTGCCATTTGACTTCAGGGGCCATCGTGTTACAGCTGGTTGTTCCTTACACATTCAGTCAACCWCTACTGAGTGAAAAGGAGACCAACAAAACATAGCAGGAACATATATCTCAAAAGAGATAATTGTAAACTTTTGTTTCTTTTAAAATCTCAATTGTCAAAGTGATTTATGCATTATCTGTTGTATTTTTTCAGTAGTAAAGGTCTTTTAAAATGTTTGTTTTATCTTCTTTTTCCATTGTTTTAGTGTTTTAGTCTTCCCTGTAGCTTCTGCCCTTTCTATAGCCTTTAACCTCTTTCTCTTATGTTGTGTTTTCCTCCCTGCAGGCATTCATGTCCATGTTCCAGATTCTTACCCAGGAGGGTTGGATAGATGTCATGGACCAGACTCTGGTGGCTGTAGGTCAAGTGTGGGCTCCAGTTGTGGCCATTTACTTCATCCTCTACCATCTGTTCGCTACCCTGGTGAGGAAAAAARCTGTGCTGTTTCCCAAGCTAAAGAGGCTAAYACATTCTTGCATAGTGTTCCTTGTAAAGGTACATTTATAATTYGGCATTTTATTCAAAACCAAACATWCAGTAAAATTTGCAAAAAGGATTCATGGATTTATCTCTTTCAATTAGCGCTCTGCCTCTTTTTGTTCATGCAAGTGCCACATCTAATCACAGATAATCAAACTTGCAGGCGTAAGAAGTGCTGACATTTTAGTGTTTGGTCCTCTGATATAAGCAGTCATCAGACAGACTCTGGATGACTCACACTTCAGTCCAGGCAGACAGGATGTCTTCCAGGACAGAACAAGCTACAAATGCAATTACAATGCAGACAGTGAAGAGTAATAAAAAGGTGCTGCATTGTCCTTTTTTTGTTAGAAGGATCATTTTTACAATGTAATAATGGCATTAGCTTATTGTAATGTGCTCACACACAGCAGATACTATATTTTTTTTTTCACTTTCTCTTGTTGCTCTTTAGATTCTGTTGAGTCTTTTTGTGGCTGTTATCTTGGACAATCTGGAGTTGGACGAGGACTTAAAAAAGCTCAAACAGGTAAGATGCTTATTTGTTCTGTTTTTGCTGTAGCACAGTTGCAGCRTGGGAGCTCAGTTCCTTTGTATGAGGTCTCATTTTCATTTGAAAATAAAACCTATAAAATGTTTGAATAATAATGCAGCTTGACAAATTGACCAATTCCTTCTACTAGTTATGAAAGGAGTTATGATTTTACTTTAAGAATATATATTTTCTGGAATAATTTAAAGGACCTTCCTAACGTGTTTTTTCCCAAAATAAACTACAAAAATTCAGAATAATCCAGACTAACAAGTCATCAAATGTATCCATATTATCTTTATGTGAACATTTGTTTCTTTATAGACAGAAACAGATGACTGTCAGTTCTTTATTTATCAGTATAACGGTTTTCTTATTCCTAAAATGTTCAGASTACATAGGTAAAGTAAACTAATATAGATTTAATTTTCTACCTTCATTCCTGTGATTTGAGKATCAAAATATTATTGAGCTACACTGTTAGTTATGTTTTGCATCTTGGTGACTCTTTGTTTTTATATTTCGTAAGTACTGTATAATTGTGATCTCCTGACAGCTTTGCTAATGGAAACTCATTTTATTATAGTTTATAATGTCACTGCCCTTTTAAAGTCACAGATTGTAATAAAATCATTGATATGTGGCTGTTATAACAGAGGTTCTTGTACAAAYGATGTTGCATATCTTAGCCAGCTTACTGTATTTTTGGTAGTTAATTCTGATTCTGCCATTTTTTGAGGGCTGAAGCTTGTTCACTTTCCTAATTCATTTGCTTACACTTCTCTGCAATATGGTCTTATATATAAAACTGAACATAAAAAGAGTAGAAAATATAACAGAAGGCCTGGAGAAGTATTGATTAGGTCAGCTTAACAATTACAAGAAAATTTGACTTTTTTGAAGCCAAGCATAAAGACATTGTGGGTGGTTTAACCTTTTGCACAGTACAGTTCATGCATTTCTGCGTGTATATCAAGCTTAAACCATTGGGTAATAAGTTTGCTATTTACTGTTTTTACATGACTCATGAGCATTTATTAAAAAAATGAGAGAGACGGAGCTGAGTTTTCCTTCTGCTGATCTAATCTAACAATAAACTTTCATTTATAGATGCTGCAGTTTTAATTGCATAAAGATTCTCAACACTTTTGTAAAGATATTGTTTTGCCCTCTGACATCTTTTGACAATCATTGCAGAAACACAAGAGTGTAATTTCAGATGCTTACAACACCAGTACATAGTCTACAGCTAATAGGTTTTGGAAATACAGGCCACAAAATAGTATTACAAAAATATTTYATTTTGCATGCTAGTAACAGCAGTAATAATAAAAGACCGAAATAGGAAAGCAGTGCCTTTTATTAAAATATGACATCCGCCTCTATGAGCTGAAGTACTTACTGAATTGGCTGCAATTTGACGTTTTTTCTTTGTTTTGTCAGGTGCATTTTATTTAAAAGCTGAGCACTTTCTGTTTCTACCCTGGGAAGAGTGACAAGGTTGAATTATGCCCACTTTAGAGCAAAGCTCTGATCCCTCCACCGTTTTTTTTATTTTGCTTTTTTGAGGCCCAGCTCTAAATGATTGAGTAAGTGGACAATTATCCTGAAAAAAAAGAAAAAAAAAGAAACAAGCTTCTGTTTAGGAAAAAAAGCTTTTACTTTTACACAAATACACARCACTTGGCTCTAGACATCTTTAATAAGCATTTTCTGCCATGAAATGCAAATTAAGTGCTGTGGTAGACAAATCTTCACCTGGAAGGAGTCTTCCTTTAAATGATCAGAGACTGTAGCTTAAAAAATGATCACAGACTCAAATGTGAACCATTAAAGCATTTAGTTGTTTTCTGTTTTTTAGTATTCTATATCTTTACATAAATTAACAGGCTCATAATTTTGAGCACTGCCATAAGCAAGCACTCACAGAAGGCCTGTGTGTCTGTGTATGCCCTCTTAGCTGGTTGACAGGTCTCAGCTTGCTTGGACAAGTTGTTTCCCTCCCACAGCTGAGTGATTAGGTGCACTGACTGTAAAATTGCTCATTTTACAGGTGTTTCAATCATGGATACAGAGGCTGACTAAATATATACTATAGATGRTAATCATACTCCCACAGGAGAAGGCTTCTAGTCTAATAAAAATATAACCAATTTAGAAGAAACACATGTTAAACCAATTACCTATAAAATTATTCTTATATTTTACTTTCTGTATACCATCTTACAAATGTTTCTCATTTATGACTAATTTACTTGTGCCATCAGTGGCACTAAAGGTCAGTTTCATTCTTTTCATTGTTTTGTCTATGGTTGGAATATCAGATGGAAAATCAGCCCCTTGTCCACATGTCTCTTTAGATACCGTTGTTTATAAACAATGCAGGATATGTGTGGGTACAGGTGGGCTAACAGTGACGTTCTCAGAGTTTACCGTATGATCACATGAGAGGCAAGCTTTTGATAGGCTTGTCTTCACAGCGTAATGCAGTACGCATGACATTAAGACCCAGGTTTGGGTTCTTGGACATTTTAGTGTTTRGTTAGAACTCAGGATCAGTGCCTGTAAAAGAAGAATAGCAGATAAACATTTTCCAAAACTCTGCTAATTTGGCACAACAGGCTAGTTTTTGTAATGGCAAAATATGTAGAAACAGGTAGCTTTTTTTTTTTCGGTGCACCAAGAACAATGCAGGTGAACACATAAACAATGGTGTGCTCATTAAAGCAAACCAAGAAAAGAAACATTAAAAAATATATTTATTTAACACCACTTTGCAAGTAATTCTTCAAATTTTCCAAATAATTGTTCATGATTAGTATTGCTCTGTTATCATTTTCACACATTTAAGATGCAAAGGTGAAGTTGATTTTTTAATAGTACATTTAGCAGTGAATTTTGAGGTGCATGGTTGTGTGTGTAATGTACAGTATGTCATCATGTTGTGTTTTCAGACTTCTTATTTGACAATGACATCATCAATAGAGTATGCAGGTGCAAACATCTGTCATTGTTTGTATGTTGATTGTCTGCATCTGTCAACCTTGACAGAGCATTTGTCTTGATTTTTTTTTATGTGAGAACTGGAAACATTGGGATGACACGGACTTGTAGAGTTTTAGTTGCTCTGCTTCTCTGCTGCTGTATCTGCAATTCCTTTATCAACAGTCCTCTTTTTTATTATTTCTTGATACCTCCCAAAAAATAAAAAAATCTGTTTGTTTCATTTGACCACTTTCTTCCACACGTTTGATGAGTGCCCCAAATGTATTATATATACTGTATGTATTATACCTTTTTCCCCTTTAACCTTTGTTTATAGCCAACCTTTTTTATAGTATATTCTGTACAATCATATAATCTGTTCTTAAGGTTTTACTATAGACAGACTGCATTCTTTATTGTAATTTTTTTCTGTTATATTTTAAATAATTTTCCCTTTTGTTTGATCCGTTTGTTTTAGTGGTTTGCCATTTTGGCCAATCTCATTGTGGCATTTTTCTTGTAATGGATATAATGGGGATTTATTGGTTCACTTTTCTCTTACAAATACTTCTTTATTCCCACTAAGTCTGTGCTTTTTTAGAACATTGCCTTAGCCCTATTTAGAGAACTGCTTGATCTACATTGTATTTTTTTAGTGGTGTACCAAAGTTTAATGGGCTTTGTACGTTTTCACAACAAGCAAAATGAAACCAAGACAGAACATATATAAATATAGTTGCCTTCTTCTAATTGAATGTTTTACGGTTCGATTTTAAACTGTTGCACATGGAGAAATCTGATGAAAATGCTAATTGATAAGTGATAGTTGGGAAAACAGTGCTGCATTTATTAACTGCATGCACTGTAACTACACTGTAGTTACTATAGTATAAGTAGCACAGTTAGAGGTTTTGACCAAGTGAATAAAAACAGATTTTTAAGTCCTTTGCAGACCAAAATTGGTAAAAAGCCTCTACACTGCAATACATCATTTAGACTTAGCAAATGTAAACTACTAGTGTTGTAGTCAAGACCACCTAACCCGAGACTAAGTCAAGACCAAGACCACAGTGTCTCGAGACCAAGACCAAGGGAGGGCGAGACTGAGACAAGACCAAGACCAGGGRAAAAAAAAAAAATAGTGTCCTAAAAGATTGAGTATTCTGTCCACATGTACAGTGGGGGGGTATTAAGTCAGCCAATTGTGCAAGTTCTCCCACTTAAAAATATGAGAGAGGCCTGTAGTTGGCATCATAGTTTGACTTCAACTATGAGAGACAAAATGAGAAAACATATCTTGAAAATCACATTTTATTAAGAATTTATTTGCAAATTATGGTGGAAAATAAGAATTTGATCAATAACAAACAAGCAAGATTTCTGGCTCTCAGATCWGTAACTTTTTCTTTAGGAGGCTYATCTGTCCTCCACTCATTATCTGTAGTAACAGCACCTGTTTGAACTTGTTATCAGTATAGAAGACACCTGTTCACAGCCTCTAACAGTCACACTCCAAAAAAACTCCACTATGGTGAAGACCAAAGAGCTSTGTAAGACACCAGAAACAAACTGTAGACCTGCACCAGGCTGGGAAGACTGAATCTGCAATAGGCAAACAGCTTGGTGTGAAGAAATTAACTGTGGGAGCAATGATTAAAAAATAAAAGACCTACAAGACCACTGATAATCTCCCTCCACCAGGGGTTTCACACAAGATCTCATCCTGTGGGGTCAAAATGATCACAAGAACAGTGAGCAAAAATCCCAGAACCACGTGGGGGGACCTAGTGAATGACCTGCAGAAGGCTGGGACTAACGTAACAAAGACTACTGTCAGTAACACACTACACCACCAGGGACTCAGATCCTGCAGTGCTAAAAACGACAGATTTTCTTTTCTGGATCTCTGACAGACAGACTTCAATCTCTGAACTCGTAAAGTTTTTCTTTTTAGTTTTCGCTGTCATTTTTCATGAATGGACACTTGAATCTGAGGCAGGAAACATAGCCTT